GGAGACCTCTGGTGACTCCTCCCAGGGCACAGATGATATTTAGAGACGTGGCTTGAGAGCCTGCCTCTGGCCTCCTGACCCTGGTATTCTCTGGAGGTCTCCCATCCAAATACTTGCCAAGGTCAGCCCCGCTTAGCTTCCAAGATTTGATGAGATCAGGCTTTCCTGGGCTATCTAGGTTAGGGCATACGTCCAAATTGTAACAAGTCCCAATGGGCATTCCATTAATTGATAAAAAGATTCCACTTTTGTTCATATGGAACCAATGGGTTCCTACAGATTCTAGAACATACTTTATCCATAATAGGGTTGCCAAGTCCCCTTGTAAATCTGGTGGGTGGATTTGGGGGTGTTCCAGCTGGGCAGGGACATCACATGGTGTAACGTGATACAATGATATCATCTGGAAAAAATGATGTCATCACATTGGCAATGCCAGGGGCGACACTCTGGTTTTTGGGCAAAACTCTGTGGTAAATTCGCCTGTAACTAGTGTTCCTTCTAAGCTGAGTTAGTGTGAGCTAGCTCACAGTGTTTTAGCCTCTGGCTCACAGATTTTTGTCTTCGCTCAGGGAGGATGGCTCCAGAGCAAAATAATTTATGCAGTAGCCAAATCACTCACTCACAACTTTTATGCCAGGCGCTCACAAAGTAGAATTTTTGCTCACAAGACTCCACAGCTTAAAGGGAACATTGCCTGTAACCGTAGATTTTTGCCCAAAAAACAGAGCGTCCCTGTGCAAGTCCCTGATGCAATGATGACACGTTTGGGTGACATCATCACATCAGGGATGTTGCGTGGTTTCCCCAACCAGTGAGCAAGTCTGTGGCAGGGAGAAGCCCCCAAAAGCGGGGGATCCCCCACTCCAACCTGGGAACTGGCAACCCTAATCCATAAGCTTCCATTTCTCCCAAATCCAAAACTTTGCAAAACTATTCCAGAACTGTTGGAACTGTTGATTTCTTCCCATTTCTGGCCCATATGATTCTGGTAATGACCCTAAGAATAAATGGGGCCACATAGTCACTGTGATGACATCTCTGAAAGCAAATATAGCCAAATTACTATGAGGACAATACCTCTGGACTTAGGTGCTCCTAGCCAACCAGGAGCACATTATGCTTCTTAAAAAGAAAAGACAAAATGGCTGCAAACTGGAAAAGGAGGGGCTGGGATCATGCAGCCAATCATTTCCTTTCAAGCAGCAGTTTGGAAGTATTTTGTCTCTTTAAAGGAAATGATACAGTAATCCCCTTCTTTTTCAACCAACTTGCAAAAGCTTTGCCCCAGGAAGAGTAAGGATTATAGTGAGAATTTAAGTGGCAAATAGCTTGCAACTTTACAGAATTAAAACACAGTCCAACAGCATCCCACTCTTTGCAAAACATTATCTGATTGGGGGGGGGGATTGAAAACACATCCCTTGTTGTGCACCCTTTCAATAGTCTGCCAAGACAGGGGACCTTTTCCAGAAAAAAAAAAGGGCAGACCTTATTTGGCTTGGCTTTTCATATTTGCTCTTATCTTTTATCTTTATACAATAAAACACTGCAACAAATGCAACACTGGAAAAGATTAATTGGCCCAAATCTATATTAATAAAAATAGGATCATCCAGAGTTTTAAAATTATTATTAGAGGGTTCAGATACTTGTTCCTAATATGATAATGTAAAGGGTGTCACAATAAATAAACGATAAGAAAGACAGTATTTCTAGCCAAAGAATCTCATTAAAAGGTAAAGGTAAAGGTTTCCCTTGCTTGAAAGCTAGTTGAATCCAACTCTAGGGGGCGGTGCTCATCTCTGTTTCCAAGCCGAAGAGCCAGGGCTGCCCGAAGATTTCTCCGTGGTCATGTGGCCAGCATGACTAAACACTGAGGCGCACGGAACGCTGTTACCTTCTCACCAAAGTGGTACCTATTTATCTACTTGCAATTTCTTGCTTTCAAACGGCTAGGTTGGCAGGAGCTGGGGCCAGAAACGGGAGCTCACTCAGTCACGTGGCACTAGGGTCTCGAACTGCCAAACTACAGACCTTCCGGTCTGCAGCTCAGCGTCTTAACCTCTAAGCCCAAAGAGTCTCATACAGAAGTATAATTTACCTTCTCACATTCAAGGGTATTGATTTAATCTGTGAGCTTCATATTTATGCAATAGCTTGTCTCTGGTCATCAGGATTCATCTTTAAATTCTATGGCTCTATCAGAATTATACTTTTACGTTCTTTAGGAAATGGTAAAATACAGAACTCATTCTGAAACTTTTGGGGTTTTTAAGCTTGGGTGGGGGGCTATGATACAATGTAGGGAAATGACCAAAATGATTCAAATGATCTAATAATTACAAATAATAGATAGAGGCAATGGATATAATATCCTTGTTTTATTTTTAGTCCAGCAGTTAGCATATGCCGTAGATGAATGAGTGGACAGACAGGCAAAGAAACACAAAGTTGGATCAAATTCTACAGCAGAAGTCTGAAGTCTAAAGATCAAGGAAGAAGACTCACTGTAGAAGGTGGTTTTGCTTATACACCTCAGTGTATGCATTTGACCGCTGCATAATGAGTTAATCTGAGCGGGCTGTAGAAAATTTAGGGGATCTTCCTCTATCCCACACACAGGTGTAAGATTGTGAACTAGATTCATGAGCTGTAGCAATACAATGATCATTGTTCTTTATTCATGTCGAACCCATACTTTTTCAAGATTGCCAGGAAAATTGTCTAATAGATGCCATGGACTTTCTTCTTTTTTGATGGGGATTCCTATTGTAGATTCCTATCCAGTGTTTTGGTAAGGTCCATTGCTTTAACACCAATGGACCATGGAAATGTAATAAGAGTAAAGAAGATCATCCATAACAGTGTTGCATAATGAATTCCTGGAGCTATATACACCTCACAACTGGGTCCCAGTGGCTTCCCAGTAAGCCAAGGCATGGTGGACATCTGAAGAGTAGGAATAAAACTTGGACTATTAACATAGATCACTAGGCAGTTGTTAATAAAACATTGGCTACTCCTGCCTTAGACCATATATGAACAAGTGACATGTAAGTGGTGACAGGTTCTGTATCCCATTACTAATTCCATGTAGTACTTAAACTTGACAAAAGGCAAGGAATGTCCCCCCCCCATTCTGTTAGTGTGCTTTCAGAACAGCTGCACATTACTCTGGCCCACTCATTAAAGCATAATCTGATATTACATAATTGCAAAATAAATGTAGCCAGGTAATACATAACACAAAATTAAAAGGCATAGTGTGAGAAAATAATAAACATCAGGATAATTAAGAAAGAGTGGACTGAGGAAGGGAGCTACTTGTGTTCAAACAGCAACATGTTTCTGCCTCCTTCAGGGTGAGTTTAGATTGATTAGCATGTTAAATGAATTTCTTGAAGCCAACATATAAGAATGGAAGCACCAGACATTCAGCATTCTTTTAGAAAACACCAGAATTGGCATTATTAAAATTATAATCAGTGATTCCCACAAATGAATGGATTGTAGGAAGAATATGTCTCTCTCAGAATGAACTGTACTTGAGGGGGTGGGGGTGATGTGCCAGCCAAAAACTGGCTTCCCAGCTTCCTTTGGCCCTTGCTTCCCTGTGAACCCTCAACTTTGTTTCTGCCTCCCTTAAGTCCCACACTGACACTCGGTTATGATTCCATACATGAGCAGTGTTGGATTTTGCTCACATCTGATGCCCACATTCATGCTTGACCCTTTGCTTCCAGTAGGGTTTCCAACTTCCAGGTGGTAGCTGCAGATCTCCTGGGATAATAACTGATCTCATAGCAACAGAAATCAGTTCACCTGGGGAAAACAGTCGCTTTGGAAGGTGGACTCTATGGCATTATACCCCATTGAAGTCCCTCCCCTCCCCAAATCCCGCCCTCCTCAGGCTCCACCCACAAAATCTCCAGGTACTTCCCAACTGGCAACAGAGTTGGCAACCCTATTCTGGACCAGATAAATACACCAGTCTCTCTCATTTCTTAGCATGAAGTGAGTTGATAGTCTACAAATACATCACACGTTAAGAAGAGGACTGATGTAATGGTTGCTGATGATGTGGAGCATTTTATAATGGGGCTTCTGCTAGGACATATGGTACTTGCTGCTGTAATATGTATGACACTAACACCTAATAGAAATTTGGGCACAAGCTCTCCTCATCACTGTCAAATAAGTCTGAATCAGGGCACAAGAAAGGGATAGTGGTGAGGGCTTTCAGTAGTGAGGACTCTGAGAAGATCAGAACCATATTTGCATTGGTTTGTAGCCTTAATGTTATATATCTCCTCCTATTTTCAAGATCTGTCCATTGTATGAATTTTGTTTGAGTAGGAGAAGGTTCACATAGCTATTTTGTTCCTTATATCTGATTCGTTGTAATGATTTACACAATGTGCTCATTTCATGTGTTGTGTCCCCTTTTATGTCCAAGGCTAGCATAATGCAGAAACTGCTGTCTATAGGGCTCCAGTCCCAAACTTTTAATCAAATGAAAGACAGTGCTTATCCCTTTTACATGTATTTTATTTCTTATTTTTTTCATTTGCCATAGAAAGAAATATGAAATCTGCATGCAACTCCCTAAATATTTGAAACATTTAAATAGCATATGATAATTTAGAAGTACAATACATTATACTGAAAGATAATATACGGAAATTTCCTGTAGTATATTTACAGTTGAAAAGGTAGTTTGTTATTTATAATTTTAAAAAGACGAATGCACTCCTTACCAATGGAAGTATTACATAACATAACAATGATGTTGCTTTGTGACTAAAATGTGTATATCCATTCCCTTATCAGAGTAGGGTTTTTTCCTGTAAAAAGTTATATTTTTGAGAATCTCAGACTATAAATCCAAAGAACCATACACAATATTCCTGAAGCTTAAAATATCTCAATACTGAAGATGCAAACTTTTCATAAGAACCTTAGCAGAACAAAAATATGTGCTTTCTTTGTATTAAAACAGCTTTATAAAGTTTATTTTTTCTTCACAGACAAAAATGAAGGAGTAGCATATTGTAGTATACCCTCCACAAGGATTAACAGGTGAACAGCTTATATCATTTTACAACCACTGTGAATTTACTGTATCCCAAATATAATATTCTAAATACTTAACTGTTCCCCATCCCCTACAGAAAAAGACATATTCTGTTACAGGAAACCTTCACATTGGCATAGGAAGCTGCCCCAATGCCAAAGAAGACACATCATTTCAGAACACCTTATATGTGTGTGTATGCAAATTATGGTTCACTGAATGAGCTTATAAAGCCCAGTTTCTAATCAGTGATATATAAACAGCTTTCAATGCACTCATTTTTTTAAAAAAAACCTTTAAGATGAAGACTCATGAGATTTCTCACTTCAAAGGGGGAATGTATGAAATCTAGTATGTAAAAGACACTTATGAAATCTGGCAGCTATAAAATGTAAAAAGTGATCCTTGGTAAAAAGTGCTTTATAACAATATAGTATTTGTGTCATGTCTTGTGAGAAGTAACCTCCTCCATTGTCCATCCTTTCCTTATGCCTGCCGCACAACTTTGTTTCTTGTATTATCCTTTTACCTTCTTATTCTTCATAAACTCTGTGGAGATAAAAACAGAGAACTAGCTTTTCAGCCAGTTTGATTAAACCACAAACAACCCCATAACCTCCCAGGAAAGTAAATATCAAAATGCAGATGTGCCAGCTTCCTAAACCCAACAGCTTCTGGTCTTTTTTCTGTGTTGTTTTTCTCTGTTTTAAGACACATGTCAGTAGTCTGGAGATGAATGAAAATGTATCTTGGAATCAGCAAGTTTAAATTCATTCCTGAGATGCTCCACTGTAACTACGGGCCTGGTATAAGGTAGGCCAACATTGCTATCCTCAGTCTGCAGATGGCCACTGAGAAAGACTGGCTGAACTGAAGTCACCTAGTGAATTTGTCACAAAAGCCAGATTTGAACCATGGTCTTCCTTGTTTCCAGGGCAACGGCTACCATCACGCTGCTCTAGCTCTCTCTGCTTCCTGATACCAGGTAGAATTCCCAACCTCCATGTGGGGCCTGGAGATCTCCTGAAACTACAATTTATCTGCAGATTAAAGAGATTAGTTTCCTTGGAGAAAACAGCAGCTCTAGAAGACAAACTCCATGGTTTACCACAGAATCTAGGCGAAATCACCCCCCAGATTCCTGACTCTACAGGCATTACCCCCAAATCGGCAGGAATCTCCCAGGTTGGAGTTGGTGGGTAAAGCAAAATGAGTGTGCAAATTAGCCATGATCCTGGCCTCAGTCAGGCTCCTGGCCTCAGCAGCATCATTCAGAATTTAAATGGCTATAAGCAAAACCAGAATGCTCATGAGCTATGGGTTTCCATCCCTTTTGCCTTCTCCTAAGTGCAAACAGAAGAGATCAGAAAGTGCATATCCAGCCACATGTTTTTAACTATTGAAAAGTCCTGGAACAATTTATGAAACTATGTTACTGGTTTAAATCCTTCAGAAATGAAGCGTTAACTTTTTCTTCATAAAGACATTGAAAAATTCCAGACACTGCATTTGTCCAAATGACCTAAATCAACTTGACCATAACTAAGGCCAGTATTATTTCTGGGGGGAAACTCATGTAGTTTATCTTTTCCTTGTGTTTATCTTTAAAAACTCCTAATACCAAGTATACAAACGAAATCTGTGGGTTGTGTCCAGCTTCTGCTGGCAAAATCCTTATTGACCTCTGTGACAGCAAGATTGAATTCTGTGGATCACATGTTCTGTGTTTTGTCTGTTCCCTAAGCTTGTATTACAAGAAAGGCCTGCATGCATTCAGGTTCTTTGTTCTTACTGCTTCTGCTGTTTCACCCCAGGGCAGGTGCACTGAAGTTCAATGAGCCCTGATGCTGAAGAGAATAGCTATTGACATAACCCTCTATTCATCCCAAAGTGGTGATCTATATAAGGAAGCAAGGGTGTTCCTATAATCAATAGACTGGCTTTTAACCAGAGAAGCAGGTTTTGACCTTGCGGTTTCACAGCAAGCATCTTTTGTGATCTCTGGGTCAGTCATGCTGGATGAGATTTTTTAAAGAAATACTGAAGTTGCATTGTTACTTAAGATTCAAATAATTCCTGCACCAACATGCAGGCACCCAGCCAAATAACCCCTGTGCCAGTGGAACACAATAAATTTTGAGGTTTCGCTGGAATTCCAGGTACAATGAGAAAATACTGAAATGTTTTATTCTGGGAAATGTGATTTGGATTTAAACAAAAACAAACACCTGAATGCTACTCTTAAAGCATCATAACCATACATCTGCAAATACATAGCAGCTGCACTTGTGGTGGGATCCCAATTCTTATGTGACACATATCCACTGAAATGAAATGGTTCTTCCTTTAAGTGTATTGACTATAGCTGCTTCTCTTTGGATAAGTTCTTGGGAACTGGCCATGCTCAGCATTTGTCAAAGCTCACAGCAGCAGAACTGCTGTGCACACCCGGCTCCAGTCTATCTTCTGCACAATCAATAAGCTCTGTCCAAAAGAAAATTTATAGGAAGAGAAGCCATGTTTGCAGAATGCACCCAAGCAGCATATAAACCAGAACAGTTCATGCAATACAGTCTGTGCTGTACAAGTATATCCAGGTCAGTTCTCATTCTTTGGTTTGATCAAATGCTACTGTTGTTTTTAATAATCTGTTCTGGTTTGACAGGATTTACTCCCCCCCCCCCAATAATACAGGCTTGAACAGGTGTTTTTAAATGGAAGTGCAAGTAATTTAAACAAAAGACATAAACAAGGCAAGTAATTGTCTTATCCTTTTCTATAGAATACTTCCACCACTTCTGCAATCATCCTTGCCCAAATGACACAAAGTCCAATAATATTCACTTGCCCTGATATATCTCTTCCCCCCCCCCCTTTGCAGAATAATTGATTTTTGCTGCTGGATATCTTTTTAGAGGGCACTCAATGGGTCACATAATTTACTAGATTCTTGTTCATGCACTCATTTAGAAAGGGTGGTAAAATAATGGACCTTCTGTGTTCTCTAAAAATGTTCGCATGGTACATGGTGATCTTGATTTGCATTTTTAAAAGTTAAGAAAACTCTAACCTATCTGGAAAAAGTATCTCACATTAACAAAGGAATGTAAAGCATCTTGATAAAGATTAGTCATGCCATGTTGATAATCTCCTTTTGTGATTATTAAACCAGAAAAAGATTGTTACTTAAAAAATTATTATTAAAGAAAATTGAGAAAACAGTAATCTAGTTGGAAAAATTACCTCAGATTAACATAGGAATCTTGATAAAGATTACTTTAATCTTTAATAATCTTGGTAAAGATAGATAATCTTGATAATCTGATTTTTGTGACTATTGAACCAGGAAAAGGTTGTTATTTAGTTCTGATTAATAAATCCCAAACAATGGAAAATTCCTTTTTAGAGGCTAAAATTATCTGAGACCTGCCTTTGGAATGGGAATTATTATTTTATTTTAGCCTTGTTTTAAAAAGGAAAATGAAGGTTTCTGATTATAGAGGTTACCTCATGCAGCATGGCCAATGGGGTGGTGGAGACAGAAAGGGCAGGTGCAGGGGTCATTTCCTGTGGGAGCGCACAGAAGTGGAGCTCCAGCAGTAAGGAGCCCAGGGGGTGGGCACATGCAAAAGCCCCGCCCCCTGCTCCCAGAAGCCCTCAATTGGGTCACAAGGAGCAAGAAGCAGCCAGGTAAGTTGCAGAGCCCCCCCAGGCCCGCCTTCAGGTACAAGCTCTCCCTCCTCTATGAGGGCAGATCTGCACATCCCCCCCCCATAGCTAACAATCCAAAACAGTCCAGTGGCACCTTTAAGACCAAGTTTTATTCAGGTACAAGCTCTCCCTCCTCTGTGAGGACAGATCTGCACATCCCCCCCCCCAATAGCTAGCAGTCCAAAACAGTCCAGTGGAGCCTGAGTGGTGGGTGTTGCCTTCTGACACAGTTCTGGTGATGTTAGGGGGGGTGTCATATGCAAATAAATTATGCTAATAAGTTATGCTAATGAGCTCCTGCACCTCTTTTTCTATAAAATGACCCCATGGCAGGTGATTTAAAGCCTGTGTGGTATTTGCCACCAGCTGTTTTCTGACGAACTGCCCCACCATCCTTTTCTAACCCTACCAAAAAGGACACCAGCTGCCTTGTTAAGGGCAGAACTTGACCTCCCTTCGGTTAGAACACACGCTCATTTGGTGATTCTTAAATTGTGGAAAAACCATCAGTCAATAAAACCTGGTTCCTTCAGCAATGTGAGCTATCAATTGATACAAAACATGGACAAAACCCGGCAGGCCTTCCTTAATAACATTGCATCCCAGTATACTATTCCAGATGAATTATTGCAATCTTTGGGAAGCAATGTCAATCTAAGGAAATGGATTTATAAAGAAGATGCCCTAATTGATAAATTTTAAATCAGTAAATCAAAGTTTGCTCCATGATACAAAACCACAAAAAAGATCATCTTAGAGCACGTTATTTGACTGAAATTACCATTTATAAGCTCAAGGTAGCATTCCCATCATTACATTTTCAGTCAATGACAACTGAGATGCTGTGGAACCTTGAATGAGGACCTGCTACATTATGTTTTAAATTGTCCCTTATACTCGGAACCAAGGGAAAGATTTCTTGCCAATAGATTGTTTGGTCTGCATCCTCTTTCAGACTCTGATAAATTAACCTCTATGTTGTCAGAAACAGATTCTTTCATTTCCAACAGGGTGGCACTTTTTGCTCTACCTGCCAGGAAAACAAGAGCAAATGTAGCAACTAGGAAGGTATCAACTGATACAGTTGCTGCTAGCTAGTTAGAAATTATCAGATTTTAAAGCTGACTAAATCTTAGACAATATGTATTATTTTGTTACCAGGAAAAAGGCCGGTTGTGGAAATAAATACAACGGCATCTAGAAAGAGGCTCTGAGTGGGTGCCCCGGCCTTGGACACTCAGTGTCAGTTTGCTGTGGCGACCTCAGCAGGGTATCAGGAAATAAATTTGATAATACTATTTGCGGTCTTCCGTCCCATATTTGCCACAAATTCATGATGGTCATTTCTTGACTCTGTAGATTGAAACATGACCCCTAGATATTTGAAAGATGAAACCTGCTCTAGGTTATGGCCCTTTATGCTCCACATCCTTAATTTGGGCCTCTTTCGAAAGGACATCACTTTGGTCTTCTGATAGTTGATTTCTAATAAGTTGGAATCACAATAGGTACCAAGCTGTTTTAGTGCCCTTTTAAGGCCTACTGGTGTTCTAGATAAAAGGACCATGTCGTCTGCATACAGTAAGGCTGTGATACAATGATTTGTCAAAGTAGGGGGATGTGTGTCAACCATTTCAAGGCTTTTAATCAGGTCATTAATATATAGAACAAAGAGATGGGGGGCTAAAACACAGCCTTGTTTGACTCCCTTTTTAGTGGGAATGACATTTGTCAAGTGCCCTTGCTTATTGCATCTAACTCTAGTAGATGTGTTAGCAGGGGTCATTTCGTAGAAAAAGAGCTGCAG